CTTAGGAGGAGGGTCTAAAATCCTTTGCCAAACATACTGATAAAACTTTAAAAAAACAAACTCATATACAATCTCAAATGAGAATTGTCTTATCAATAAATGTTTGACAAGATTAGAAACATTTAAAAAAGCAACATTCTTGAATCTTCTGGAATTAAAATAGGTAAAGATCATTCAAAATATGTGGGTTCTTGACGAGATCTAAATTTCAGCTGTTGTTTCATATTTAAATTGGTAATTGTATGTACACAGTGAATCTAAATGGATAAATGCATTAAAATGATGAGTATATTTGTCTCAATTGTCTGCATCTTTGATGATTCAGGGGTATATAGTTTTTGCCCTGTCCATTCGTCTGTTTCACTTTGTCCACGAAAACATTAACCTTGGCCATAACTTTTGAGTGGATGGGGCTTTGGCTGTCATATTTCACAGGTGTATTCCTTGTAACAAGACCTTTATTCTGGTACCACAAAATTGGACCTCTTGATCTTGTTCGACCCAATTTTACAAAAAAAATTCAAACTTCTTTTGTGGCCATAACTTTTGAATTGTTGGCACTAGGGCTTTCATACTTCATCTGTGTATTCACTGTAACAAGACCTTTCAATGGGTAAAATATTTTAAACTTTTGACTATTACCTTAGAGTTTAACCAAGTTTTCAAAAACTTTAAACTTGTCCACAACTTTTGAACTGTTAGTTCTAGGGCTTTCATATTTCACAGGTACAAGTATATTCCTTGTAATGAGACCTTCCTTCGGATACCAACATACTTGACCTGTTGACCTTGGAGTTTGACTTGCATTGCATTTGAGAAACTTTTAACCCTCACCATAAGCTGCCATAGGGGGCATCAGTATTTCACAAACACATCTTGTTTTCTTATGTTTGTGTCAAATTGTAAATTTAAAAAAATGTAACATGTAGGCCTATTATGAAACACCCTATAGGTTTACTGTTACTCATTTGTTTTACACTATATGTAAAGCTAACTTTCTTTATATCCAACGAGGGCACAACAAAGCAAAATCCTAGCATCCCATAGCATATCTATAAGTCAAGGCAGCATTCAAGATTTTTCCCAGTGCTTATTACGTCACTTCCATTTCACACAGGACATAACACACACAAATAATTCAAGTTCAATTTAATACTTCTCTCAAACTAATTGATAGTTACTGGTGCTGGATTAAAATATTTTGAGTTAAAAAAAATTGGAATATATCTTGATTTTTATCAAAATAATCAAAGATTTAAGACAGCAAAAATGGGGTCACGGAGCAGGGTTGAAATTGACTCATTTACATAATAAACACTTCATAATCTTTATAGCCATACTTAAACTCATATACTCTATCTATGTAATTGTATGATTTAGTTAACATTTTAGAGTCAGCAGTTGACAACAATTTTGAAAATTTGTAAGTCCCAGAGCAAAAGTGTGTGATTGTTCTTTTTGATACAGCTGTATATTTACTTTACCAATTTTAATTTGTATTTCAGTTAGAGAGAATGCAAAAGAGCATCCAGCAATGAATGTAGAGGAATCACCTGATTTTGGCAATCTGCCGATTGTCGTTTGGATTCGGGTATTCGAATATTTATCACTTAAAGACAGATACAGTGCATCTCTGGCGTGTTCAAACATTTACAATGCATTTAATCACCCCACACTATGGCAGAAAGTAACACTAGATGTAGGGGGAAGCTCAGGAAAACACAGATACTTCCACTGTGTTAAAATTCCCAAAAGAAATTTTCATCTCGTTCGTAGATTTGCAAGAATGTTCCATGACCTTACTTTTTCTATTTGTGAACCATTGCATATGAGCTTTGGAGAATGGAACACTGTTTTAGAAGAAAACATCAAGGATTTTAAATTGGGTCATCTAACATTGGATGTAGGTGGTTTGAGAAACAAACCAAATGTATCAGAAATGAAAATTCGTACCGAAAATATGAAACCTATGGTAGACATAGTTAGAAATCAGTCACATTTAAAGACTCTTGTCGTAAACTCATGGCCAGTATTTGCTAACTCCTTGCAGAATCCTGATGAAAATATATTTCAAGCTGCTATCGAAAATAACAACATTAAAGGTCTGAGAAAACTAGGCTTGTTTAAATGCAATTCCACGGCTTGGTCTGGGCGAAGACCACATTTAATTTCATCAGAGTTGACTTTGAAATTGGTGGATCATTTCAAGAACTTGACCCATTTAGCTTTAAGATCGCCTATGATCACTTCAGATCTTATCTCGAGCCTATCATTGAGGGGTAGAGATAAGCTTCAACAATTACACATAACAATTAATTTTATTCCTGAAGATGAATCCTTCAAAATGCCAACAGTGAATGAATCAGTTTGGAAGGATTTCTCAAATTACAACACGAATGTGAAAGTGAAAGTTTTGGTTTTGTCAAGAGCACCACATTACAAACTAGAGTGTTTCCTGAGGCCTTCCTGTCCTCTCTATGAAATAAAGTTTGGAGAATATATCAGAAGTGACAAGGAATTTATCACTTACCTGGCGGATTCTTTCAATTCGACACTGGATACATTTGAATATAACGAAGAGGATGGAGATTTTGAAAGAGAACTAGTAACTCTTGTGGAAAACTCAGACCAACTGTGTAGGTTAAAATACTGCGGCAAAATCAACTGTCAAAATGTTATACGTCTTGCGAAATTGAGGAAAAAGAACTGGGAGTCGTTTCACTTGATTAGAAAGAACATTTATAAAAAGAATGTCGAGAAGAATCCGGAAATGACCATTGACAGTGATCAAGTTATAGCGAAAAATAAGGATGGAGTGTATGTCCTTGTGGATCTAGTGAAATTTCACGAACAGGTTTCTATGTTAGACTATGAAGAAGAAGAACAGATAATGATTGAGAAAGTGTCCGAATATTTGGGTCGAGATTGGTTTCCTGACAAGTTTTATCAATAGTTAATATACAAAGTTTACTGTGCGAGAGTTCACTCCCTAAAGGAAATAATTACTGTCCAGTGAATTGTCCAAAGTTTTATATTATAGTCCATTATATGTAGTCAATTCAGTGAAGGTTAAGTTATTTAAGAAAAATTGACTTAGGCAACCTTCAGAAAATTGTTTGGGTGTCCTCTCCCGACTTGGTCTGAAAATATTGGATAGGGAGGTACATGAGAAATTTTTTATCTCAGAAAATTTTAATTTCAAATCTTTAAATGTGTCAGATGTTTTTTTCCCAAACGAATATTTAACAAAAGAAGAGATTTGATAAACTTGCGTAATTGTTGATAATTCGTGGACATGGGAATACACTTTGAAGCCAAAAACGAAGATCAATAAGAAAATATGTGGACTCAAAGAAAAAAAAACTATCGTCTTATTATTGTAAACGGAAGCAAGAGCTCCAATACCTGTATGTTTTTTTTTTCAAGAGGTCAAATAATACATGTACTTGCAACCGAATGAAAGACTCTCAATGGTTACTTCCCTTACTAGTATGTTAAAATTGTACTTCCTGCAAAGGAAGTCCAAATATCGATTTTCAGGGTATTTTTGCCTTTACCTGACAATGCTGTCGCAAAGTTGCAATAAGCATAGAGAAACGAATAAAACTTTGAAGAAAAAAAGTTTACAGACCGTTTTCATCCCATATATTACTAGTATCTAGATCTCAGCCATGTGAAATATTTCTTCCAAAAAGGCATGAAAACAATCAAAGAAAAATTGTGCAATATAAGATACTAGTATGTTATAAGAAGTTATTTTCATCAGTGTCTTTTGGGGCATGCATCACATGGGTTTGCTGCTGTTTTCTGGCCATGTGTACAAAGACCTTTAATACATGCGGAAAGGGTAACTGAGAATGCTTTGAAGGATTGAAAATACTGAGAATATGTCGTTTTCTTACTTAAGGTTACATTTTTGTATTTTTTATTAAACAACCCTCGTAATCAAAGGAACGTAGTGTTTAGAATTGATTTCTCAGAAAAATAAATTGAAGATCCATTCCTTCTCATACTTTGCATTCATGATAATTTACATGTATTTTAAATAATTACTTTATATGTGATCTTAATGAGCAAGGCATTTAATCAATCGGTGCTGGTGTGACAAGTCTACTGTACTCTAGAATCCATCACTCTTATAGCTAGTGCGCTCTTTCAACATTATAATAAGGTAACACCATGTATGTATCTCCATCAATAAATAAAAACATAACAAAAATAGATTTTTTAAGTTTATTGGAAAAAAATCAACAAATATTTACAATATTAAAAAAAAAAACATTTATATATAATATGCCATTATAAAAATAACAAATAAAGTAAATGGATAGTGAAACGGGGGAAAATGTAAGCAAAACGTAATCAAAACTATTTACAGTGATTCTTTATGAACTATGAAAGTGTAGTACCACCTACCTGTGTGACAACCTGTAGAAAAATATGATGGAAAAACACCCACCTAAAACCACGTCGTCAGGTACGTCACACGTCTTAGGTCAGGTGCTCAGTCACACAGGTAACAATGGAGGCCTACAAGCTCAAGGCGCCGAACATCCGTACCAAACACTGCAACTCAATCTCCATTGGTAGTCTGGTCCTGATTTTTAAAAAGAAGGCTAGAAATAACTTCTAACGGCAAATAATTATTATTTGGTCCAGCATAGTTTTTCAACCTATTTCGATTATGCTGAATCCGAAAAAATAGAGGTATAATTTGAATACATTTTTGTATCTCGTAACCAGCCTCTATAACCAGGCAGAGCGCATGCGCGCAACAAATTTACATCGAGTTCGGAAAACAGCAAAGAGGAAATTCGGAATATATAACGAAAACTAGGAGTGCTATTCTCAGATGCAGAAATTTATGCATAATTCAATAAAATTTTATCTAAAAAGCCGAAAAATTAATAAGTCGACAGTGCAATTAGTTTTTATTTGTTGATTTATTTATTTATTTATTTATTTATTTATTTATTTATTCATTGAATAATTATTAATAAACTAAGTAACTTATTTATTCATTAGGAAATTTATATTTCTGTTTATTTATGAATACATTCTTTTCTTCATTAATTAATAATTCTAATGAGTAATCAATTTTTCTATATATATTTATTAATCATTTATTCTTTTATTTAATTAATAAATTTATAGGTTAATTTATAATTTATGTTTCAATTCATATATATTCTAATTTGTTTGTTTATTTGTTTACTTACTTTATATTTTTCTTCATTGTTTATTTATTTATTGGTGTTTTTCTTTATCTACTGGTTTATTTATTATTTCTGATAATTAAGTAAATGTTTGATTTACTAATAAAATAATCTATTTTATTAATTTATCATATTTATTCATTTTTATTACTATCTTTTAGAATTAATCAATTAATTAATTATCTTTTTATTAATCTATTTATTTTTTTATTTATTTGTTTATTTCTCTCTCTCTCTCTCTCTCGCTCGCTCGCTCGCTCGCTCGCTCGCTCGCTCTCTCTCTCTCTCTCTCTCTCTCTCTCTCTCTCTCTCTCTCTCTCTCTCTCTCTCTCTCTCTCTCTCTCTCTCTCTCTCTCTCTCTCTCTCTCTCTCTCTCTCTCTCTCTCTCTCTCTCTCTCTCTCTCTCTCTCTTCAGGTTCTGTTTATGTATTGCAAGGGCTTATGTTCCCATCACCAGTGTTTGTATATCCATCACCAGGGTCTGTATACCCATCACCAGGGTCTATATACCCATCACCAGGGTTTGTATACCCATCACCAGGGTCTGTATACCCATCACCAGGGTCTGTATACCCATCACCAGGGTCTATATTATCTATCACCAGGGTTTATATACCCATCACCAGGGTCTGTATACCCATCACCAGGGTTTGTATACCCATCACCAGGGTCTATATACCCATCACCAGGGTCTATATTCACATCACCAGGGTCCATATTATTTATCACCAGGGATTATATACCCATAACCAGGGTCTATACTCCCATCACCAGGGTCTGTATACCCATCACTAGGGTCTGCATACCCATCACCAGGGTCTGTATACCCATCACCAGGGTCTATATACCCATCACCAGCATCTGTATACACATCACCAGGGTCTATATACCCATCACCAGGGTCTATATACCCCTCACAAGGGTTTGTATACCCAACACCAGGGTCTGTATACCAAACACCAGGGTCTATATACCCATCACCAGGGTTTGTATACCCATCACCAGGGTCTGTATACCCATCACCAGGGTCTGTATACCCATCACCAGGGTCTATATTATCTATCACCAGGGTCTAAACACCCATCACCAGGGTCTGTATACCCATCACCAGGGTCTTTATACCCATCACCAGGGTCTGTATATCCCTCACAAGGGTCTATATACCCATCACCAGGGTCTTTATACCCATCACCAGGGTCTGTATATCCCTCACAAGGGTCTATATACCCATCACCAGGGTCTATATTCACATCACCAGGGTCCATATTATTTATCACCAGGGTTTATATACCCATCACCAGGGTCTATATTATCTATCACCAGGGTCTAAACACCCATCAGCAGGGTCTGTATACCCATCACCAGGGTCTTTATACCCATCACCAGGGTCTGTATATCTCTCACAAGGGTCTATATACCCATCACCAGGGTCTATATTCACATCACCAGGGTCCATATTATTTATCACCAGGGATTATATACCCATAACCAGGGTCTATACTCCCATCACCAGGGTCTGTATACCCATCACTAGGGTCTGCATACCCATCACCAGGGTCTGTATACCCATCACCAGCGTCTGTATACACATCACCAGGGTCTATATACCCATCACCAGGGTCTATATACCCCTCACAAGGGTTTGTATACAACACCAGGGTCTGTATACCAAACACCAGGGTCTGTATACCCATCACCAGGGTCTACATACCCATCACCAGGGTCTATATGCCCATCACCAGGGTTTGTATACACATCACCAGGGTCTGTATACCAATCACAAGGGTTTGTATACCCATCACCAGGGTCTGTATCGGATCACCAGGGTCCATATTATCTATCACCAGGGTGTAAATACCGATCACCAGGGTCTTTATACCCATCACCAGGGTCTTTATACCCATCACCAGGGTCTGTATACCCAACACCAGAGTCTATATTCCCATCACCAGGGTCTATTTACCAATCACCAGGGTCTGTATACCAATCATGGGTCTGTATACCAATCACCAGTCTGTATTGCCTATCACCAGGGTCAATATACCCATCACCAGGATCTATATACCAGTCACCAGGGTCTAAATACCCATCATCAGGATCTGTAGACCCATCACTATGGTCTATATACCCATCACAAGGGTCTATATACACATCACCGAGGACTGTATTATCTATCAGCAGGATCCATATACCCATCATCAGGGTCGGTATATCCATTACCAGGGTCCATATTATCCATCACCAGGGTTTATATACCTATCACCAAGGTCTGTATACCTATCACCAGGGTCTGTATACCCATCACCAGGGTCGGTATACCCATCACCAGCGTCTCTATATCCCTCCCCAGGGTCTATATACCCATCACCAGGGTCTGTATACCCATCACCAGAGTCTGTATTGTCTATCACCAGGGTCTATATACCCATCACCAGGGTCTGTATACCCATCACCAGGGTCTATATACCAATCACCAGAGTTTATATACACATCACCAGGGTCTATATACCCATTACCAGGGTCGGTATACCCATCACCAGCGTCTGTATACTCATCACCAGGGTCTATATACACATCACCGAGGACTGTATTATCTATCACCAGGATCTATATACCCATCACCAGGGTAGGTATACCCATCACGAGGGTCTATATAAACATTCCCATAAACATTATCTTTTAGAATTAATCAATTAATTAATTATCTTTTTATTAATCTATTTATTTTTTTATTTATTTGTTTATTTATATGGGTATTTATACCCATAACCAGGGTCTATATTATCTATCACCAGGGTCTAAACACCCATCAGCAGGGTCTGTATACCCATCACCAGGGTCTTTATACCCATCACCAGGGTCTGTATATCTCTCACAAGGGTCTATATACCCATCACCAGGGTCTATATTCACATCACCAGGGTCCATATTATTTATCACCAGGGATTATATACCCATAACCAGGGTCTATACTCCCATCACCAGGGTCTGCATACCCATCACCAGGGTCTGTATACCCATCACCAGGGTCTATATACCAATCACCAGCATCTGTATACACATCACCAGGGTCTATATACCCATCACCAGGGTCTATATACCCCTCACCCCAACACCAGGGTCTGTATACCAAACACCAGGGTCTATATACCCATCACCAGGGTTTGTATTACCCATCACCAGGGTCTGTATACCCATCACCAGGGTCTGTATACCCATCACCAGGGTCTATATTATCTATCACCAGGGTCTAAACACCCATCACCAGGGTCTGTATACCCATCACCAGGGTCTTTATACCCATCACCAGGGTCTGTATATCCCTCACAAGGGTCTATATACCCATCACCAGGGTCTTTATACCCATCACCAGGGTCTGTATATCCCTCACAAGGGTCTATATACCCATCACCAGGGTCTATATTCACATCACCAGGGTCCATATTATTTATCACCAGGGATTATATACCCATAACCAGGGTCTATATTATCTATCACCAGGGTCTAAACACCCATCAGCAGGGTCTGTATACCCATCACCAGGGTCTTTATACCCATCACCAGGGTCTGTATATCTCTCACAAGGGTCTATATACCCATCACCAGGGTCTATATTCACATCACCAGGGTCCATATTATTTATCACCAGGGATTATATACCCATAACCAGGGTCTATACTCCCATCACCAGGGTCTGTATACCCATCACTAGGGTCTGCATACCCATCACCAGGGTCTGTATACCCATCACCAGCGTCTGTATACACATCACCAGGGTCTATATACCCATCACCAGGGTCTATATACCCCTCACAAGGGTTTGTATACCCAACACCAGGGTCTGTATACCAAACACCAGGGTCTGTATACCCATCACCAGGGTCTACATACCCATCACCAGGGTCTATATGCCCATCACCAGGGTTTGTATACACATCACCAGGGTCTGTATACCAATCACAAGGGTTTGTA